ATATATAATATAGTGTAAAAAAATCTCTCCTTTAGGAGGCGGAAGTTAAACCGTCGGAAGTGTTTTAAAAAAAAACGTAGAAGAAGAAAAGGAGGCGGAGTCACGGAAGACTGGGAGAGATTTCCTGACGGCTCAGCAGGTTAACCGGCTAACGGAGATATCTGTCGGTCTAAGCAGCTCTTTAACCGGGTTTACAGGTCGGACACACCACTGGAATAAAGGTAGAACAACATGAATATTTACCCAGCATGCAATTCGGCTGTAACATCTGTTGTGTGTCTGTGTGAGACTGGAGGAAGTGTCCTCTCGCTGTTAGCTTTTAGCCGGTTAGCTCCGAGAGGGAAGTCAGCTGATCGGCTTTAACACTTCTGCTACAATCACTCCTTTTTCCTGATTTATAACCGGGACCGGTCCGCCTCCAACCCGGCGGGTTCGGACTGTGTTCGAGGCCGACCCGGTTCGGACGGTCGGACCGGGTGTGGACTGACTGTGTCCCTGTTTCTCCTCTTCCAGAGTCACGATGACTGCCGCTCCTTACAACTACTCCTACATCTTCAAATACATCATCATCGGTGAGTGGTTCACCTGTTCAGGTACAGTGTGAAGGTTGTTCACCTGTTCAGGTACAGTGTGAAGACTGTACACCTGTTCAGGTACAGTGTGAAGACTAACAGGGTTCTGTTCGTGGTTCTGAAGGTCCAGCAGGTTCTGGACATCTTCAGATGAGTTTTCATGTTTCAGTTCGACTGAAGAAATTAAATTAAATTAAATTAAATTAAAAACATGTTTTTGTGTTTAATCAGTTTATGTTTCAGGATTTAATTAAAATCATTAAAAACAGAACCTGGTTCTGGTTCTGGTTCTGGTCCTCGTCCAGAACTCTGTGGTTGTGGTTCTGGAGGACCACTCTTCTGTCCTTCACTGGTCCAGTTCTCTGAAGGTCCACCACAGGGTTTCAGTCAGTTCTGGTTCTGGACTCTGGACCACCACAGATCTGTTCTGTTGTAGACCAGCTGCTGGGCCTGGATCAGGGTTCTGTTGGACCCGGTTTGATCCAGTCTTCAGCTGTCAGACGGGTTTATTCTGTTGTGTGTTTGTGTGTCAGTGACATGTTCTGACCTGTTGTGTGTTTGTGTGTCTGTAACATGTTCTGACCTGTTGTGTGTTTGTGTGTCTGTAACATGTTCTGACCTGTTGTGTGTTTGTGTGTCTGTAACATGTTCTGACCTGTTGTGTGTTTGTGTGTCTGTAACATGTTCTGACCTGTTGTGTGTTTGTGTGTCTGTAACATGTTCTGACCTGTTGTGTGTTTGTGTGTCTGTAACATGTTCTGACCTGTTGTGTGTTTGTGTGTCTGTAACATGTTCTGACCTGTTGTGTGTTTGTGTGTCTGTAACATGTTCTGACCTGTTGTGTGTTTGTGTGTCTGTAACATGTTCTGACCTGTTGTGTGT